ACGCGCGGGCTCAGCGCGCGGCCGCGGGTCTGCTCGCGCGCCCCGGCGTCCGCCTTGTCGGCCATGCCGGCGGGGTGCAGCTCGCGGGCCAGCCCGGCGTCGCCGGCGGCCATGTGCGGGTGCACGACGGTCAGCGTCTGCACGTACTCGTTGCTGGTGAAGCGGCCGTTCAGCTCGGAGCAGGTCAGCTTGAACACGCGGTTCAGGTAGTACGCCGGCTTCTTGTTGCTGTACTCGATCTCGCGCAGCACCTGCGGGCGACGGGCCGTGAGCGCGGCTGGCGCGGCGGGGCGGGGCGGGCGGGGCGGGGCGCACCTTCTGGTAGTTGCGCACGGTGTCGGCGCCGCTGAGGATGACGCCGTCGCGCGTGACGGCGGCGCGGATGTCGTAGCGCAGCGGCAGCTCGGCCGCGTCGCGCAGCGTCAGCGCCTCGTGGTCAGGGTTCAGCGCGGGATACACCGACACCACGCACGAGTCCAGCTTCTGCGTGTCCGCTTCTGCCGGCGCGAGTGAGCGTTATAAATTGCAATGGCTCCGCTTTCGGTGTTAGGAGCGCCTCGAATTACCGCAGCCGGATGGCGATGCGACACGTTCACTTGCTTCGTCTTTCAATAAGTAAGGTAACACTTATCTAAGCTTGAAATAAAAAGGAGGATGCGGCATGCGGCGCGGCGTCGAGATCAAAACACGGACTTTGAAAAATGTAATCCAATATAAAACACCTAAACGAAGTATACATTTCTTTGAATCTAAAATAATTAAAGAGAAAAGGTAATATATCGCAAAGCGGTGTATCTTGTCGTCATTAACTTGCACCGCCGCGACCAATAAAAAGTGTAATTTAAATTCTCAACAATGTAATACATTTTTCTGAAAGGCGGACAAAAATTTAAACATAACAATGCAACACAGAATTCAGTTTTTGCTAAATAAAATAGACATTTTTGTTTAAAGAACTCGCTTTACGAAGGACTTGTCATGTTTAAGCGGTCTGTAGACTTCACACGTAAGCAATATACATAGGCAGTAGTGGAAACAAGAAAATAAAGGGCTACGATTTCTTATTGAAACACGAAAAACGTTCGAAGCGAGGGATACACCGGGGAAACGCCTCGCCTTTCAAGGAACGGCTCGGCACAAACGGAAAGGCACCTCTGAGCGCGTCGCCGCCGCGCGCCAGCACGCGCAGCGCCAGCTCGGGCAGCACCTTGAGGCCGGCGCGGAAGTGCGCGTAGTCGCGCGCCAGGTCGCCGCTGCCGTTGATGAGGATGGTGGGCGTCTGCGGCTGCAGCACCATGATGTAGGACTCGGCCGGCCGCGCCTTCACCACGCGCCCGTTGTCGCACGTGATGGTGGTGGCCACGTGCACGTTGCGCCGCCCGGGCGTGGGGAAGGCGCGCGCGTCGCCGTAGGCCACGCGCCGCAGCAGCGTCTCCACGTCGGCCACGCCGTCGCCCTCCACCGACACCGAGCGCAGGTCTGCAACAGGCGGACGTCACAGGCGCCGGCGGCGGGCGCGGCCGCGCCGGTGGCGCCGGTGGCGACGGTGACGACGGCGACGCTCACAGAGGTCCGGCGCCAGGCTGAGGCCCTCCCGGCAGCGCGCCACGCACTGCAGCGCCCTTGGCGGCTGCACGGCGCCGCGCAGCACGCCCAGCCCCGCCAGCCAGCCGCGCAGGTGGTGCTTCATGTCGCTCTCCGTGCCTGCAACGCACCGCCCGTCAGCCAGCCGCCCGCCGCCCGCCGCCCCGCGCCGGCCGCGACGAGGCGCGTACCCTGCCAGCAGGCCCCGACGACCGTGGTGGTGTTCACGCCGTGCGCGGGGTGCAGCGGCCAGTCGTCGATCACCTCCGGGCCCTTGCCGTCGACGCTGCGGTAGGGCTCGCCGTCGATGAACAGCTCCACGTTCGGGAACCGCACGTTTATCGCGTAGTGATGCCATTCGTTGTCGCACACCTGCGAGCCGATTAACGCGTCCATTTGTTACTACACAATTATGAGCCGGACTTAAAAAACCTACACCCCCGACCCGCTGAGACGGTACGAGAGCCGACTGAACCGATTAGAAACAAAAATAAAAGGAACGATGCAAAAACTTGGCTCGAACGTCGCGAACGGAACTTAAATCTAGCCGTTACCTCGGGAATCTTCCAGCGCCACTCGGCGGGGCGGAAGATGTTGAGATCGCCGTCGCCAAAGTCGCGTCGCAGCAGCATTATCAGCCGGCAGTTACGCACGAAGATCGCATAATGGTGGCGATTCATCTCTGCAGGAACGGATATATTTCAATTTCAATTGTTTATTTACAAATTTAAGATGGAACATTAATTGATATACATATGACGCCCTGCAAGGGCACAGCCACGTCTGAGGGCTAAATTCATAAATCACACTATTTAATTATATTAAATTAATACGTTACAATATAATATCATAACATTAAATTATTATGTCACATGATTACATTGCATTATCCTTAATTAATAATGGAAAACATACTTTATACAATACATTAATTTCAATAATTATTAATAAGAGATGTCGAAGTATTCTTATTTATATTATTATTGTTATTTGTCATCACATGTATCGTCAAAAACTTCATGTTAAATCATAATAACATTTATTAACAAGAAATCCCATTAGTTCTTTAGTAAATTGTGTAAGTCTTTCCAGGTTTTTGATATAATTTGGTGTGTGGTTATAAATTCTAATTAACATGGTGTGTGGGCCAAACGTAACTAATTTCATTTTGAAGAAAGGTACTCTAAGCTTATTTAAGTTTCTGTTATTTCGTTTATCGTTCGTTAGACGTAAATAAAACTGTGGGTGCTTCCTAACAAATGTACATGACTCGAGAATGTAGAGAGAAGTAACGGTCAGTATTTTACACCTAACAAAATGAGGTCTACAAGATTCCATTTGGTCTATATTCGTTATTATCTTTATACACTTTTTGTGCAGAATGAACACCTTGTCCACATCACAGGAATTTCCCCACAAAATAACACCATATACAATAATCATAAATAAAGTTAGACTACTCCACTTCTCCCGCACAGCTACCCATCAAAATCTCCCCTTGCGTTATTGGCCCATTTAAAAAACGGGTCAGTTTAGAAGTTGTACAAGATCAAATGGAGATTTTTTTAAATAAAATGCAAGTACGCATGAGACCTCCATCTCACCTGATGGACAGTAACCACGAGGTCGACGATGAATGAAGCATACTCACTTAAATAATGCCTATTCACTCTCGCCTTGAAAAGGTCTAAGTTATAACGTTCAGGGAAGAAGCCTACAGGCAGGGAATTCCACTTCATAGCCGATCACTACATAAATGTGAAAGCGCAATGCTTCGTGCGAATTTTGATAGTTTTACAGTCAGATAAAGGCTATACTTACTATGATCATCAGCCAGGCAGAGAACGTGTTCCTTGCGGTGCTTGTCCTGGTCGGGAGCAGGCGCGTGACGCATCCAAGTGGAGATAGAGAAGGTGCCGGCCAGGGAATGAGGTAGGACTGACTCGGGTACCACCGCGGAGGTGGTCTCGCCATCGAAAGAAAACATCTGCTCGCCGTCGCGACCTAAAAATTAACAAATAATCTGTAAAGCACACTGATACAAAAAATTCTAAGTAATATTCTGTTAGTACTATAACTATAGGCAGACTAGGGCAAAATAGAGTTGTGTGAATAAGACTTAAGTGTGCACACTTTTCCTCCACAGAACATCAAGAATACTAGATAATATTAGTAACGATAGCAAACTGCCAGACATAGCTCACATAGTTCTTAGATCACGCTAGTTCACAACATGACCGTCGATGGGGCAACAAAGCCACCTATGGAGACTTAGATCTGAACAATACACAGACTGCCAAGCGCTGGAAAAGACCTTCATTCAGCAGTGGTCAATGGTCGAAAAAGAAGATGAAGTATAATATACAAAACAGAAAAAGACTTTTCCAACATCGTCATCAATAAGATTGAAATCGTTGTGAAATAAGACAACTTTCTTTGTTTTATTATACTAAACAGATAGCAAATTTTTGTTTGACGCTTACCCAGGTCAGGTTTGAGAGACTTGGCCCACTCGTTGCCGGCGCCGGGGCTCGGCAGTAGGTCGATGGTCTTCTGGTCCATACCTGAAACAGCAACAGGACAATCTTGAACATGCAGTTGATTACTTGTTTTACTTTATTAATTAACTAGAAGTTTCATTCTGAAATAAATGCGTTCTAATGTTTTTTTTTCACTTACACACACAACATAGCCCCACACCAGGGAAACCCTGTGTCGCGGGTGCCGTGGCCACACACATAGACAACCACAAATTACACCCAAACTCACGAGAGAAATAAATGTAAGCCATACAAATATTTTTCCCGGCCCGGAATCGAACCTGGGACCTCTGCGCGGCAGTCCGGCATGGTAACCGTTCGGCCATGGAGGCAGTAAATGTAAAAAAAAGTAATGCATAAAAATAAAAGGTTTTCTTTATAATAAATACCCTTTGATTAATTAGGTTGGTGATTCTATAAATCATGTGATGTTTTGAGTCTGGCAGTATATATCCCTAATCCTAACTCTAGGATCTTACCGCAAATGGTCCTTTGTGCGTGCAGCGCATAAGTGTCCCGATCACACCCGGTACCAGCGCGGCTCGCCTGCAACGTAACAGCAGCCTGGATCCTCGTCACGCCTGGGCAGCGGTCATCGGAAGAACAAGCCTCCAACCGCGCCGCGGGGAACAATGCCAGCGGGCCTGTACCCGGTGCATAGTCCACACGCTCCGCCACTCCTGCAACCGCGAAATATAGACTTTAAAAGACGCAGATAAGATCTAGAAAGTCGTGATTAATTCCTAGCCTGCGTTCAATCTCTAAAGGCCCCAGTACACATTGGCTGATACTGGCCCACTACAGGATATTGAAATTGTGTACAGGGGGTAACTGTGCAGAATGGCGGGTAATTGCTATTAGACAATGGATCGTGGCGCGCAATGGCGACGTTGTCGGTTGTTCGGTTACATTTTAAAGGAATCGTGGCGTAGCGTGGTAGTGTTGTTCATACAGTCGCCCATTATTCAGGTAGTTGTCGTTCTCCGACGGAGTAGCGCGTATATTGACAACATCAACCACCGTCTTTTACGCCATATTTCTTCTATTATTTTGTTCCGGCAAACATTTCTATAGCACTTGTAAGCAGTAAACAAATTGTGATTACTTCGACGTCCATTCTAAGTGCTTCAACAGGCAAGACTGAGCCATGTACAACTATTTGAACACCAGTATCGCCGAGGGGTGATAACGGCTTGCCGTGGCGCATGGCGTTCATGGCCCATTGTGCACTGGAGCCTTAAGTGTCAACTCGTCTGCAATAATCCACTTTCTACACTCTCTACTATATTCCAGGATGCAGTGGAAGTGTTATAGAAAACTAGGAACTCGGTGTATGCTCTCGGCGTCATAGGCTAATAAGAAAAACATTATGAAAACTTAAGTAACATTGCCTAGTGAACGTTTGCTACACGTAAAATGGACAAAACAAGGTTCTTTGCTTCAACACTATAGTCGCAAAGGTTAATAAATGCATATAGCGGCAAGGCACAGGACATTAAATTTATCAATGTATGTACATTTTACGCTATTTATATTGAAATAAGATATAAATTTAAAAGCTTTGAGAGGCAAAGGGAAATGCGCTGTGGTACCCGAGGTCCCAGAGCATTGAAATTTATACCTTTTTTCAATTGAAATAGCACAATATATACATATACATTACATTAATAAATTTAATGTTCGCTAAAGGATTCAATATTTACATAGTTATTTTGTGTTTCAGTGGCTCTATTAACTCACTCTCAAGTCCTTATTCAGTGACTGACTGTGTATGTGTTTGTTGTACACAAGTAATACGTAAGAAGCTAGTAGTACCTTTCCAACCCGCGCGGCAAGGCTTGTTCACCTTGACGGTGACCAGGACCGGAGCTGACTGCATCATACCGCAGTCGTACGCCACTACAGAGAGGATGTGGTTGTGCGCCTTCTCGTAGTCCAAGACCTCCGTGTTACGGATCACTCCTGGAGAACAACGCATGGCAGACCATTTTAACAAGATCGATCATAATATCATTTTTCAACGCAAAAAAAACATTACAAATCCAATACCAAACAAATGATATTTTTGCTTTTTATGGCGCTATATCAAAACACAACGGTATTTCATCTTTATGATCATAAGATTGAAAATATAAATCATCGGAGGCAAAGACCACATCAAATATACTTACCCTCGTTATCGATAGTGAAAGGTGTATTGCTGTCCAAGATCTCGTACTTGCAGACGTCCCCGTATCGCGGGGTGCAATCGCGATCGGTGGCCTCAACACGTATGATCTCATCGTATAGACGGCCTTCGTCCACGGTCTTCACGTATGCCGATTGGGAGAAGACCGGAGGGAACTCGTTCACGTCCGTCACTGTTATGTGAACTGGCACCCTGTGTATAAGTAGACTGAATAATCTGTACTTCGGGTTTGTGCTTCAAATGATACCGACAACAGATCAATCTCGACAATTCTCGACAAATTCCGAAATAAAAGCCTTTACAGATTAAGGTGCACGAAAGGAGCCTCCACGCACGACGTACTATTCCTTTCCTATAGGTCTGGCGCACCCTTCTCACGCCGCTGATTGGCAAATCCCTTACTACGATCGCGAGTATTTTAATGTATGTCATAGATACGATAAGAAGTAACTGAAACGTTTTGGATCAGAATTACATTTTTATAGGTTTCCATTATAAGAATAATAAATAGACCATGCAGACAAATAGGCGTAGACTGCTCGGGACAAGTAGAAATAGTATACAGCAAATTCACAAATTTGAATAAAACTTTTTTAACTTATTTCAAAGAGAACTTTGGCCACTGTAGTAATACTGACGTATTGGAGTAGGATCCATCGCAGCCGACGGCAGCAATATCGAATTTGTAGTTACGACGCTTCTCGCAGTTGAGCGGGTAGCGTACGCGCAGACGCGCCTCATTCTCGTCGATGACCATTATCTGCAAAAAAAAATATATTCCGTCAGCAGCCGTACTTTCGCCCGGAGCGTGCGCAGTGACCGGATTAATATCCTTTATTCCAAGGGCGTGTCTAAAAGCAACATCTAAATTGTAATAGGACGTTCCGTCTCCGTAAAATGGGCTTTTGGTTTTTTTATGATATCAAGTGACTGGATGAACAAGTCGTGCGCCTGGTGATAAGCGATACGCCTACCTATAACAGTTGCAGTGTCACTCAGAGCTTTAAAATACAAATGCGCCCACCACCCTGAGACAAAGTTGATAAGTCAAACAGGCCTGTAATTTCACCAGCACGCTCCTTACCCATCAAAGCCAGAACACATTAATGTTCATATTACTGCTTGGCGGCAGAAATATGTATGGCGGCAATACTTGTCCTGAAGATACGCTTTCATGAGGAGTTCTAGTGCTCCTAAATGATGTAGTCAGTGTAGTGGTATCAAATAACCAGTTCTTCCCAAAAAAGTAAAAATCATGGCTCATTCCTAACATTGTTGTGCTCGTATTTGCACATCTAACGAACACAAAAAGTACTTTGAGCGTTTAGTGGCGTTGTCGCGGTTAACCGGTCTGTTGTGTCAGTACAGATTAAATTCTCATCACACCCTGACATATTGTACAGGAAAACGGTCCTTTAATTAACTCAAAGCTTCTCCACGCTTTACCAGTACTCCAAAATCAACATAGAAGGTTGAACACAGAACAATATGTCTACCCACATATTTTAGGTACAGTCGAACTTGATTTTACCAGGAACGATGTTTCTTGTTCACCGCAAATTATTCTTAAACCTTTTAGGAACGTATACACATACGACCGGAAACAACGTACTTGTGCCGGTCTTTCCTTACAAACAACAGCCGTGGCTGCCTGCCTTGTCCTGCTAATGGCCTGCCAGGTGTGGGTCCGGGTGGGGGCGCAAAAAATTCTAAGAAATACCGACCTGAAACCGATTCCCCGCACAACGAGTTCCCGAAATTCTACGATCACAGCAACGATAATTATCCTTTCAATCTCGGAAAATAACTTACCGAGGAATATTTCGGTTATTTGCTCGTTAACTGAGCTGAACTCAGTAAAGAGATTCCTTTGTAAATTTACTGACGAAAGATAGGTTTTGATAATGACAACCTCAGAGCAGTGTGTCAGTTTAATCAAGTTTACTTATTTATTTATTTATTTAATAGTTTATTGTACAGGAAAAATACAACAAGTCACAAAGAATTTTAAGGAACACAAGTTTACTGTTTTGTAGTACTCGTAGAACAGGGAAGTTGAGACTTGGGGTTAATAATCAAGTAATATTATTTAAAAGAGAACGGATAATGGAAGATGTTCAATTCAGAACATAAAATTTCTTAATGTAAAACGAATAATAAATATGTTCAGTGTTAATATAGCAACACCGGTATTTTTTTATTGTAGACAACACCGGTGGTAATTTTCCTGTCTCCCTCTTCTAAAATTATTAAGTATCGTTATACTTAATAATCATAGGCTTTTTTCAATTTAATAAAAAAATATTATTTTAGTTTCCTTTATTTAACAGAAAACACCTGAATAAAACAATGTAAAATAAAATTTTATTCCAGTATAACTGTATAACTATCTTATGTAGATACTTGAAAAGAACTAAAATAAATCACCGCAAAAGTATCTTTTGTTACGTTAGGTGCTAAATGTTTATGTGTTTCTGCTTCTAACAAGAAATGATCACTATTAAAAGAAAGAAATCAGCACTGCTTCGATTTGTTACCTTCCAGATATAAAAGTTCTAAAGTTTTAACTTCTGAGTTCGAACTTAAAAGTTGGCAAACTACATGCTAGGGGCGCAGCAAAATAGCACTGAGATAAGAAATAAGATTGCGAGAAGCGCATCGAACATCCTTATAGTCTTTACATTTTGTTCGTGTAAAAGCTGACAGTGTAGTCAGAGAGCGTTGTGGTATGAAAGATGAAGTTGAAGTGATTAGTGACAAAACAGAAGAAACGGAAATGTTTCGATGGTTTGGTCACGTACCAAGACATCCACATGTCAGTAGATGGACGGCACAAATTTATAGAGCGAATGTGGGTGGAATTGGGAAAAGTACCAAAAATAAACATGCACGGTTGTATGACGAAATTGATGCGAGTTGTGAAGGCGAATGGGATTTGTCAGGAGGATAAAGAGTGGAGGTTCATGATCTCTGCCTACCTCGGTGAGTGACAAACGTAAGGGCACGTATGTGTATAGTAAATGGAGTAAAATCTTCACCTAATTTTTGTCACGTTTTGACATAATAATAACATAATTTAGGAACATTTGTGCGGATTATTTATTTTTTGTTTTTGTTTTCCTATTCTTCAACATATTATTATATCGAATTTTGACCAATGAATTGTCAGATTAAATTGCTCGACTTCACTATATTTATGCACTTTATAATGTTAATTACTGCAATCTAAATTTTTATTTTGCTTTGACATATTTAATCATTGTAACAATTAATGACATGGCATACGTATGAAACAGTCATTGTAGTGCCCTTACATCATGTGATGGAATAAATATTTATGTAACACGTTTAATAACCCACATGTGCCAATTGATAGATGAATTATGGAGCATTTTCTTACATTTCTAATCAAACATTCTTATCGGCATGATTTCATTGCCGAAGATGCGTCAACCAGTATCGAGGCTTTTGTAATTAATTAAAGTGTACATTTTCCTGCAGCTGAGCAGCTACGTCCTTTCTTAACTGTCGTCCTAAACTTTATCATTACCTTCGTTACGTCGTAATATGGATCGACATAAATTCAATATTTCTCGACGTCAGACGACAGCGAAAATAATGGAACAACTTGTAACATGATGCAGGTGAAGGTATTCGAGGTCACCGCTATACTACGGTGGTCTAAGGTAGAAAGAATGGACTCTTTGGTTGGTAGATGACTCATTGTGTAGTAATTGGGAAACGTTGGTCACGTCTGGTGACTGTTAGGCAAACCATAAACTAGAGTTAACCAACTAACAAACTGCATAAAATTATTTTTTAAAAACGGTATCTTAAGACGGTTGTATAGAATTTAACAGTTAAACAAATCTCTTGCACATTCGAGTTATGCTATCTCATTTTATTATTCAAGTATGGCTGGGAAGTGATGATTATGCGTCTTGACGCTGAGTGATCAAACAAGCAAACGTCTGTTCTCAACGAAACTCAAAATAGTAAAAACCAAATCTGAACTGCGCACTAACAACCGTCTTCAGCCCAGATTTGCAGCGCAACACGTAACTCGCAACTTGCTTTGCAGAATGTGCAGAAAAAAATAAAAAACTTTTAAATCTCGTAACTAGTAAGTAGCAAAAGCAACTAAACGACACTACGTTGCAATTTAGACTGCACCCATTCGACTGAAAAAGTTACTTTATTTAGTAGGTAGTAGAGGATGTTGAGTTCTTAGGTTTTCGCGATAGTTACACATAAGAAATGAGACAATTTTTCCGCAATTAAATCGCGTATACTTGTCTTTTCAAACAAACCAACGTTTCGGGCCCTTTACAGGTCCCACGGTCACGGTTGACTGGGAAATGGTAAATCCGGAAAAATAGTTTCATTTCCTAAGTTAGTAAAGGAGTTAAGCTTTCACGATTTTGTAGTTAACTATATAATATCTCGTCTTATTAACATTATAGATATTACTAATAAGAATGAGTCGTTAAGACCGGAAAAAAATAATATTGTGATGGTAGCCCTGTGGGAGAATGGCTGCATTTCAATTAAGATGTCCGCGATTCGAATCAAAGTGGCAGCGTGTGCCAATGAAATTCTAAGCACATTTGTGAATCTTTAGCAATATTACGTAACGTTTAATTTAAACATCTAGATAAAACCATATGTCGAATAAGACTCCCAATCCTCGGAAAACTTGTGAAGTCCCCAACCCAAATCGGGCCGTCTCTTTAAAGCAGATCCGTGCCCTGCGGTTGCACGTTCATAGGTTGTTCATGGTGAATACGATGGTGGGAAAGAAAGATGTTCAAGGGTGTTTTTTTTTTCCCTAATGGAAGGAGTTAATAAGTACCTATAACTCATGGCGGATAATGTTTTTAAATTATCAATATGACGTTATATAGTCACAAATATTCGTGTGTCACCTTTCTGGGACAAGCAATATTATTACCCATGAGGCGTTTCACAATTCACTAATATAAATCAAAATGCACTTTCAAAACCCACATTGCCATAGTAATATTTATATTTCGTTATAGAAAGTGATTGCTACAAAATAAGGCGGGCTCCTTTTGCGCAAATCCAATAAAATCATAAAGGCATTGCATCGAATATCATGCATCGGCATCGCGTCGTATTGCAAGAGCGAAATGAGCGAAACGAGCGGAACGTCTCAGCTTTCGATCGAACAAATCGTATCACTTATTGAGTTCGCTTGTTCACGTAGAGAAATGCGAAGCGCACATTTGTTTTTATCACTAAGCAGAGATAGGTTCAAATGCCATGACCTGTGTTATTGCGACTATTGGGGAAAAAATCAGTTAATGGAAACGCCGTAAACATTTTACGGGAGTGAAGCTACACAAAAGCGTAATTGTGCGTACCTAAATCATTTTAGTTAATGGAGTTAATCACAGCACACACTCACACCCTCGTACTAGGTATACCCTGTACCGCGGGTGCCATGGACACACATAGACCATAAATTACACCCAAACTCACGAAAGAAATAAATGTAGGCCATACAAATACTTCTTCCGGCCAGGGAATTGAAGTTACAAGTTCTTACTCACTGATAGAAATAGAACGCATACTTCCCGATATGGTGGAAAAAAGACATTTATACCGTTGTACGCGGAGATTCCAAAAAAAAGAATCAAATATGAGAAGACCTAAATGTGGAAAATTTGAAAGACTGATCAACGGCCTGCAAAAACTATAATATATGAAGGGAATATTTGTGCACTTTTATGGTACACC